ACGGATATTCTCAAGTTAAAGTTGATTTCATGTAATCGAATGAACTATCTTATAAGTAAAGTCGTCCCAGGAGCGCAACTCAACAATATTGGCAATATCATTTTAAAGTCGTCTACTTTAAAATGCATAATGTATGTCTGAATTGTCAATATAAATGAGTCAGATAAAATTAAATTATTAGAAGAATTTTTTCACTATGTAACAAAAAACAAAATTTGTTTAATTTACTGTTTGTATTTTGAGAACGATTTCCGAATTGGAAATTGAAACGTCAATAAACGTATTTTTTATCTTTAATTGTGGCTTATTTCCAGTTATAAATAGTAATTAATTTACAATGCCACAAGAAAATAGCTTCAGAACAATATTAGCTAAAAGTTAGCCAACGACTCTCTAGTAAAGTCCATCTACAACAATTAAAATATTTTGGGCATGTTATGAGAGCAAACACAGGAAACATGGAAAGACTCATAATACAAGGAAAGGTAGAAGGCCGAAGATCACGAGGAAGATCCCTAACAAGATGGATAGATCAAATTACAGGAATATGCCAAAGACCTATGCATGAATTAAAAGAAATGACCAGAGACAGAGATCTCTGCAGACGGACAATACACGACATCACGTCGACCACTACACTCCCCCTGAGGGGTCAGGATTGAAGAGAGAGAGAGAGAGAGAGAAAGTACTATTAAATTGAATCTTAATGACAAATTTGCCACAATATTTTGACTATATAAACACTGTAGTTACCCTAACACATTTATTCGCTCTTTGATTTTTGATAAATGACCTTGAGTAATCAAGAAGTATGCTGAACAAGGAAAAATCGACGACAGATCGCGTAGTGGCCGACGAAAGAAAACTTCTGTTTGGGATGACGCTGCGTTAAGAAGAACAAGTCTGACAGACAGAAGCCTTAATTTCACCCAATTGACGAAGCTGTGGTCTGAATCTACAGGTGTAAGCGTGTGCACTTCCACTCTGAGAAAAAGACTTCTTGGTTTTGGACTTAGAGGATGTAACACACAGAAGAAGCCACTGCTTTCAGAACAGCAAAGATTGCACCGTTTGAAATGGGCCAAGGAACATCGAATCTGGACAGCAGAGCAGTGGTAGAGTGTACTGTTTAGTGATGAATCCACTTTCAATATTAATAATCATGCTGGAAATGCGTATGTCAGAAGATTTCCTGGTGAAGAAGTTTCTCCAAAATGTGTTCTTTCCAGAATTAAACATCCATCCTCCGTTATGATATGAGGTTGCATGTCCGTTCGAGGAGTTGGTCGCCTACACATTGTCCTTGTGATGATGAATGCTACCAAATACATTGAAGTACTACAGAATAAGATCATGCGTAGTGGAAAAGATCAGTTTGTCGAAGAAAAAATTATTTTTCAGGATGATAATGCTCCTTGCCATAGAGAAAATTTAGTTAAAGCTTGGATGGAGAGTAATGAAATTGATAGGATGGACTGGCCAGCGCAATCCCCGGACCTCAATCCCATCCAGAATTTGTGGCAAAGGATATCAAACGTCATTTCCAAAAGCAAACCCACAAATAAAACGAAATTAATCGAATCTCTTATCTACGCTTGACATCACTGTATTTCCATGGACGAACTGCAAAAATTAATAAATTTCATGCCCAAAAGATGTGAACTAGTTATTAAAAACAAGGGCTGGTCAATTAAATATTAAGATTAGTTTAAATTACTTCAACGTGATGTACAATATCGTCTTGTTGTAAATAGCCTAATTTTTGTAATATTGAATAAAAAAATTTGCGAACTACATTTTTTTTATTAATCAAAATTTTTGCTGTGGTTCCATTTTATAATATTGTGTTTAATTGCTTGTTTGATGTAGATAGTAAATGGTTAAAAATATTTAAGGTAAATGCCTTAAACTTCTATTTTCATGTATTTGGTAAGGTGATGCAGGACTTTTTAACACCATTATAGGTGACATACACAAGTCTATGTTTTATCAGATTTTGGAACATTTGGCTGGTCATTGGTATAAATATTATATAGTAGAGGGGGCAACACACTGTCTTGACTAAAACCGTTATTTTGGTTCCTCCAACTGCTCTTTTTATCTTGCAGTGACAGATAGAATCTTAGGCATAGTACATACAAGACCACTCTAAATATAAAGCTATATTTTCATATTTTCTAGTATTTGACTCTATTCATCACCATCATCACTGGCTCGACAACCCTTTTTGGGTCTTGGCCTGTTCAAGGATTCTTCTCCATTCTGACCTGTTTCGTGCTTTTTTTTCCAGTTTTTAATTTTTAATGTTGTTATATCATTTTCTATTTGTTCTACGTATCTCAGCTTCGGTCTTCCTCTTGTTCTTTTTCCTACTGGCACTTGTTTGAATATTTTGTTTGGTATTTCGCCTTCTTCCATTCTTTCCACATGTCCAATCCAACGTAGCCTTCCTATTTTAATGAATGTTATGATATCCGGATCCTGGTATATGTTGTATAGTTCAAAGTTATACCTTCTCCGCCAAATCCCGTTTTCTTTTGTGCCCTTATATATGTGTCGCAAGATTTTTCTTTCAAAGGTGGCTAATAACGTTTCCTCCCTTTTAGAGAGCGTCCAGGTTTCTGAACCGTATGTGAGTACCGGTCTTATTAAGGTTTTGTATATTTGGCATTTTGTTTTTCAGGAGACGTTATCTGATCTTAGTTGCCTAATCAAGCCATGGTAACATTTATTGGCAATAAATATTCTCTTCACTTCCTCTGCAACGTTGTTATCAGACGTAACTAGGGATCCTAAGTATGTAAAGTTTTTTACCGCCTCAATGTTGTATTCTCCTATTGTTAAATTTGGCAGCTGCCTTATTTGTGCGTTTTTATTTGCAGGCATATATTTTGTTTTGGTCTGATTGATTTTAAGACTACTATTTTTTGCAGCTCGTTCTATTTGAGTGAATGCCTCTATCATTTCTCTTCTTGATCTTGCGATTATGTCAACATCATCTGCAAATGCTAGTACTTGCACGCTTTTATTAATTATTGTTCCTCGGGTATTAACTGTTGTGTCTCTTATTATTTTTTCAAGTATGATGTTGAATAATATGCATGATAGAGCGTCTTCCTGGCGTAGTCCCTTCTTCACATCTATTGTTTCCATTAATTCGTTTTGTATCCGGATTTTACTTTCTACTTTTAGTGTTTCTTTTATCAATTATATTAGCTGTGTTGGTATATTAAATTCTTTCATTGCTTTTGTTAGGAATTCTCGGTTTATATTGTCATATGCGCTTTCGAAGTCTATGAAGAGATGATGTGTGTCGATGTTATATTCACTTGTTTTTTCAAGGATCTGTCGCAGAACAAATATCTGGTCTATTTTTGACTTCTGTCTACAGAAGCCACATTGGTATTTGCCAACTATTTTTTCAGCGTATGGTCTAAGTCTTTCATACATTACGTTGGACATTATTCTGTATGCCGCATGCAACATCGTGATTCCACGGTAGTTTTCACATTCTAACTGGTTTCCTTTTTTATGTAGTGGTACAATAATGCCGCTATTCCACTCCTTTGGTAGCTGTTTATTCAACCATATCTTTCTTATCAGCTCATGTATGGCTTTAAGTAATGCGTCTCCTCCTTCTTTCAGTAGCTCCGATGATATTTGATCCGATCCCGGTGATTTATTGTTCTTTAATTTGTCCACTGCTGTTCTAATCTCTGCTATTGTTGGTGGACTCTTTTCTCTGTTGTCTGCTTGGTCTAATGGTATATCAGGGTTCATCTCTGTCCTATTCACCCCAAGCTTTTCCTTAAAATGTTCTGTCCATCTTCTAAGTATCTCTTGCTGTTCTGTCAATATATTACCCTCCTTATCTTTACACATCGTTGTTCTCGGTTTGAACTCTTTTCTGCTTTTGTTGAGTTTCTGGTAAAATTTTCTTGTCTCTGTTGGTTTACTTAGTTCTTGTAGTTCTTGAAGTTCTTTGTTGATATATTCTTTCTTCGGTGAATTTTCTTTTCTTCTTTACGTAGTTGTTTATATTCTTCCTCTGCTTGTCGGGTTCTGTGCCTCTGTTGCGTCTGTAGATATGCTCTGTTTTTTCTTGTTGTTATAGTTTGACATTCTTCGTCAAACCAGTGATTCGTTCTTGTTCTTCTTTCTTTACCTTCCATGCCCAACACCTCTTTAGCTGTTTCTTTTATGATTTCTCTGCACTCTTCCCACTCCTCATTTAGGTTTTCATGTTTTGGTCTGTTTTCTAGTTTGATGCTTATATTTTCTTTGTACTCTCTATTTTTGTTTGTTTCTTTGAGTCCTTCTATATTGTATCGTTCATGTTTAGAGCCTCTTTCCTTTTTGATGTTTGAAATTCTAGCCCTTATCCTACTTTCGACCAGGTAGTGATCAGAATCCGCATTTGCCCCTCTTCTGGTACGGACGTTTATTATATTCGATTGGTGTCTTGAGTCTACAATAACATGATCTATCATATTCACTGTAAGTCCGTCTGGTGATTTCCAGGTGCCTTTGTGTGTATCTTTTCGAGCGAAGTATGTGCTGGCAATCACCATGTTAAGTGATCTTGCTAGGTTTACCAACCTATTGCCATTGTCATTTGATTGCTCATGGAGACTGTGCTTACCTATTGTGGGTTAGAATTGCTGCTCTCTTCCAACTTTTGCGTTTAAGTCACCATAAATTATTTTTTTATCACTTTTTGGGCATGACTGGTATGCAGACTCTAATTCATCATAAAACTCTTCTTTGACTTCCTCTTCTTTTTCTTCTGTGGGGGCATGCGCATTAATTAGGCTGTAGTTGAAGAAACGTCCTTTAATTCTTAAAATACACAATCTGGGACTGATGGCTCTGAAGTCTTTTATTATATGTCTTACTCATTTGAGTTATTACTTTTTGATAAGAACTTATAGCTTTTATTGTAAAACTGTTTATATAAACACTTTAAATATTTACCTAATGATTGCGAATTCTTTTCACAGGGGTTGTAAATTACTTAAGACAAGAAGACAACACACTGCCAAAAATAGGTGCCATAGGAATTGGTGGTTTAACGGGCCTCATATTTGGTCTCAGGGGTGGTTTTATCAAGAAAACTGTTTATGCTGCTGTAGGTGCTCTAGGTATATCAGCTGTGTGTTATCCCAAAGAAGCATCCGAGTATTCCCAAATCGCACTAACTGAAGGCAAAAAATATGCAGTAGTAGCGTATAACTTCGTTCATGGAGGTAAGCTTGTTGAGTTCTCTTTCAGTACCTAAACTATAATCATCTTATGAGTACTAAATTCTATTCACAAGTGGACAAAAATCCATGCATTGATATTTGCATATAATACTAATGACTATAATATTGCTAATATGTAAATGGGTCACTAAAAGGTAATTTTTTTAATAAACCAATAAGTTGCGAGGTATATTACAATCTGTTCGATCAATGTGATCAATGAACAATTTTTTTAACCTAAAGTATTACTATAAACTTAAGACTAAAGATATATTCGTTAGTATCCCTTAGGTTTTTTAATTTATTACACAAATATTAACGTGTGTCATTATCTGTACTGTACTCTGCTTTTCAGTTTCCACTTAACTAATTAGAAGGGCTTCTTTTTCAACCAGATTCGCATTCTTTAAAAACAAATTAAGCAAACATATAAAAATAAGGAAAGCTAGTGCTGTCGATAACAATAAATTCAGGAGTCTTAGAAATAATATTAAAAATCAAATCAAAAATGAATTTATGCAGCATCAAAATAATATTGAAGATAACATTTTGCATGACCCAAATAGTTTTTGGACATTCATAAGAAGTAGGAGACAAACCAGCGGTTTTCCTCACGAGATGTCTTTAAATGATCATACCTATACAGGCCCTCAGGATTTTGCCATGGCTTTCTCTCATCATTTTAGCTCAATTTATCACGTATCATCTACACATCAGGGTAGTTCACGGGATCTTTTAACTTTTCAGTTATTAGTGAAGAAGATGTGAAGATTAGTATAAAAAAATTAAAGCCCAAAAAGGCCACTGGTAGTGATAATATCCCTGCCTATATCTTTAAAGGATGTTCTGATATATTTCAAAAACCATTATCACATCTATTTAATCTATCTCTTAAAACTAACACCTTTCCAGACAAACTCAAAGAGGCTACCATTACTCCAGTTTTTAAATCAGGTAATAGAAACAATATAGAAGACTATCGTCCTATAAGTATCCTTAATTCCCTGGCTAAAATATTTGAATCTATTCTCTATATGAATATATTAAAAAATTTTGAAAATGAATTTGCTCCAGAACAACATGTTTTTTTGCCTGGGTTATCCACAACTAGTAATCTGTGCATTCTTTCTAATTTTGCTAGTGAGGCAATAAATAATAAACTCCAATTAGATTTAATAATGACTGACTGCTCAAAGGCATTTGATATGGTTGACCATGGCATTCTTTTATCGAGATTGAATGAGTTTGGTTTTTCGCATGATGCTTGCACATTTATAAAATCGTATGTCGAATCAAGGTTTCAACGAGTCAAAATTGGTAGGTGTTTATCAGATAAATTTCAGGCTACATCTGGTGTCCCCCAAGGGAGCAACTTAGGGCCTTTGTTTTCCTTAATTTTTGTCAACTCACTACCACAATCTCTTAAATTTTCTTCTAGTCTGATCTATGCTGATGATTTTAAGCTTTTTAAGACTATAAATACTTCAAATGATTGTCAGTTACTACAGGAGGACCTGACCTCAGTTGTGGAATGGTTTAGGGACAACAATATGATCTTGAATATTAAGAGGTGTGGAGTCATCTATTTTACTCGCAAAATTGATTACATTCAAAATAATTATAGAGTTGACAATTGTGTAGTATCTAGGAAAACCAAATGTAAAGATCTGGGAATATACCTACAGGCTAACATGAAATTTAATGGACACTATATAAATATTAAAATTCCACGAGGAAACTAAGTTCCTGTAGCTGGCTGTATACCATATATCACAAAAAAATTTTGTTAAAATCCTTTATAAAAGGTATATAAAAATGCCTCAAACGGGCTATCACAAACACATTGCAAAACGTTGTCGGATTAAACAATCCATCATCAGTGCAAACGGTTGTACATGCTAGTAGCCACCAAAATATATGGGTAAAAACCCTTTAAATGTTATAAATTTGAAATTGTTTTACATTATTAGTATTTCTAATTTGTGATGGTTAAGTTACCGTTGGATAGGTAACATGGCGGCGTATGACTCTACATGAGTAAAATGGTCCTGAGACGAAGTGTCTACGAGGACCTGTTGATAACAACTGGAGCAATTGTGCAGAACTGAAATATAGAGCCCACCGAGAAGTCTCACGAGATAATCGACCTGTGCTCAACGAGAGCCCACCGAGAAGTAAGTTGGTTCCACTAAAAATTTCCCCAACTATCCAAGAAAAAAGAAGAAGGTATTTCACCCACTTAAAATTACCGGACAGTTGTATGTAATTCTGAGGAAGTAAAAATTCCAAAAGTTTTGAGTTACCAGTACCAACAATTGGACATGAGAAGCAGACAATACTTGGGATTAAGTTATTGTCAAAAGATACGGGCCTTCGGCGAAAATTATCAATTTATGTATAAAAAAACCTGCATACCCAAAAGCATTAGATCTTTTTATACTGAGTATTAAGACGGAAAGGATTAACTACCTTTAGTAATTAGGGAAGTCCATTATAATTTAGTAGATCCAATATTATTTTCTTATCGTAAACACGGGAATTCCTAATCATCGGCGTATCGCACGGGGGTAAAAGAAATTAAAAATAATTAATAATTTAATAATAAAAAAAATGTTACATTATAAATGGAGAACAGCTCCCAAAGGAATGGACGGATGCATATATAACATCTATATTTAAGAAAGAAGATAGAAAACGATGCGAAAACTACGGAGGAATAAGCGTAATATCATCAATAGGAAGATTATATGGGAAGATACTGCGAGAAAAGATAGAGCAAGCGATAAAAGGCAAAATCGGGGAGGATCGGCAGGCTTCACGGCAGGAAGATCATGCATAAACCACCTATACATACTGGAGCAACTTTTGAAAAAGAAAAAAGCAAAAAATAGAGATATGCATTTGGGATTTGTGGACCTGAGACAGGCGTATGACTCTGTACCAAGGTCAGAACTATGGGATGCAATGTACAAATTAGAAATACAGACGGAACTCATAGAAGCTACAAAAGCTGCTAACTGTCCATTAAAGTGGGAACAAGAATCATAGGAGACTTGACCACAACAAAAGGGCTCCTGCAGGGTTGTTCAACATCTCCAACCCTATTTAAAATATAGTTAGAGAAAGCCTTGACTACATGAAAAAGAAAATGCGAAGGCATGGTAGTACCGATAGGGAACGAATACCTATATACGTTAAGCTTTGCAGAAGATCAAGTAGTGATTGCACAAGACCAAGACGACCTCAGACACATGATGAAGAAACTACAAGAAGAATATACCAAGGCTGGATAAAGAGAATAACCGAATAATAGAAAAATTATTTTGCATCATTTCGCTTTATTTTATATCCTCATATTTAATATGACAGCCATTATTTATGCACCTCCTCTTTTAATTATTTTAGTTTCTCTGTGATATTATATATGTATCTTGCTATTACTGAAACTACATTATTCGATAAATTATGACATTTCTTTTATTTAATTTCAGTGAAGAAAGATGATCCGCCATTAGAACTTCCTTCTCTGCCTAAACTGCCAACTAGCTTAGACGAGGCCTGGGAATCCGTGAAATCCTTAGTGTCATCTGAAAAAGAACCAGAAAAAAGTAAAGATCAGCAATAAAAGGTTAGTAAATGTACATACATTGGTATTATATATCTTTTTCCTATTGTTGTATTTTTATTAATTCTAATTTATTGTCTTTATTATTTATCACAGGTTCTATATTTATAACACTTACAATTTAATTTAAAATTTATTTATACTAATAATTTATCTTACACTAATAATTACATAATTTATTTATACGAGCGTTACATTTAAAACTCGGCGCGCTATTCTCTTCTCATTAGCTCCAAACAATGAGAGTTCCATTATATACCCAATACAGCTGTTAGAATGGAATTTCTCGAAGCCCGTGTATATTGACCTGAATTGTCTCGAATGAAGGGGAACTTAGACTAGTTTTTATAGCGACTTGAGAAAATACTAGAACAGAAAAGTGAATAAACAACATGTTTACAGGTTTTTAATATGACTCATATTTTTACGTAACACTATATTAGGCATGTTCTTGTCCGATTTTAAGCTGTAGTATTTGTGACGTTAGCTGTCAGCTACCTCACAATATTTTAAAAGGTCTTGCTGTTATTTAGTATTATTCTGTGTCTTTACCAGAAATTGGTTTCAATGCCCTCATTTCTGACGATCTAAGTACTCTCTGTTTCTGCTGCATCTGCATCTGCCCCTGGTTCTACCGCATATGTCTTCTACACGTGTTTCCTCCTTTTTGATATCAATGCCTTTAATTCTTGTATTATCCATTGTTTGATTTTAGGGGCTGTATCGCTATTCTTTTTCTATTTCTTTTCCTACGAGTAATACACAATAGAGTATACAATAAACTTTGACACTGGTCAAACTCAGTTTGGTTTTAAGAATGGGTTCGGAACAAGAGAAGCACTTTTTTCAATACGTGTGCTAGTTGAAAGATGTAGAGATGTCGATTCTGATGTATATTTGTGTTTTATAGACTTTCAGAAGGCGTTTGACCTGGTGAAACATGATAAACTAATAGATATTTTAAGGTCATGTAATATCGACGATAAAGACTTAAGGATCATTTCAATTTCATCCTCTACCAAGAACAAAAGGCTAAAATCAGAATAAAAAGCGAAACATCTGGAAAAATCAATATCGAGAAGGGAGTAAGACAGGGATGTGTCCTATCACCTTTGCTGTTCAATGTGTACTCTGAGAAGATATTTCAGAAAGCTTTGGAAGGCGCCTCGGATGGTATAAATATAAACGGGCAATGTATAAATAACCTGCTATATGCTGATGACACTGTCATACTGGCAGATAATGCTCAAGCCCTGCAACGCTTAATGGACCGAGTACCGACAGCCTGTAGAGAATTTGGAATGAAATTGAATACAAAGAAGACAAAAACGATGGTCATCAGCAAGCACCAAAACAGAAGGGTGAAGGTCAATGTCGACGGAACAGATCTGGAAAGAGTAACAAGAACAACGTACCTTGGAAGTAATCTTGATGAAACTTGGGACTCACTAGAGATAAGAATACGCCTGGAAAAGGCACGTACAATGTTTTACAAAATGCAAAAAGTTCTATGCAACTGTCAGCTGGGCATCTCATTGAGAACTAGAATACTTAAGTGCTATGTTTTCTCCACCTTGCTCCATGGTGTTGAAGCCTGGACAATGACAAAAGCAACACAAAAAAGAATCCAAGCATTCGAACTCTGGTGTTACCGTAAAATGCTCAGAATATCCTACATGAGCCATACGACAAATGCGGAGGATGAATAAGGAAAGAGAGCTTATGCTTATAATAAAAGAACGGAAAACACAATATTTTGGTCACATCATAAGAAATCAAAAGTATGAACTGCTTCAACTTATAATCGAAGGCAAAGTCAATAGCAAAAGAGGACCACGAAGGAGACGCAACTCTTGGCTTAAAAACCTACGACAATGGACGAACATGACCTCCATAGAACTATTCAGGGCTGCTATAAATAAGATTTAATGGGCAAATGTAATGGCCAACGTCCTTAAGGATAAGGCAACGTAAGAAGAAGATCGCTATTCTGTTTCTCGAACTTCCTTGTGTATTTGTTCCTTGATCTGTTGGCAGAGATCAGTTTTTTCAGTCTTCTCATATTAATTCTAAGTGTTTTGGTGGCTGTTTTTGTCAAGTATTGACTAAAGCTGTAAGCTTTAGTCAATACTTTGGCGTTATGGAATCTGGTTCATAATGATGTAGCTTTCCAAGTGTATATTCTTTGGAGTGCTAGTTTGTATCATGTGTTCTTGATAATAAGCTCATTGTTTTTGCAAAACTGGACTAGCTTTTCTCCTCTCATTAAGTTTTCTCAGTCTATATTCCCCTACTACTTCTCCATTTCTTCCTTTCCCTGCCTTCGCATTGAAGTCGCCTTAAACAACATTAACTCTTTTGTTTTGGTTTCTTTTATAAGTCTTTTATTTAATTCATTGTAAAAACTGTGTATTTCTTCCTCGATGCTATAAGATGTCAGTGCGTTTATTGTTGTTTAAATGTAATTCTGTCCGTTATCGGTATGGTATAAACCATTTTACTGATCTTTTAGTTGCCTTGCTGATGATAATAGCCATTCCATTACGATTTTGTGGGGTGTTATCTCCATAGTAAGAAAACAAGTAGTTGCCTATTACCCTTCTCATGCTATTAGGCTATCGAACTTCACTACATTCTATTCTCGACTGCGAAATAAGCACTGTAACAATATTTTTAAATCATCTGGAATATTCAAAGAGACTTACATAGTATTTTTATTTTCAGGTAGCCGTCTTGACGTAATGTGGTGAATTATTATATACCAGCCACTGAAGTAATGCAACTGTACATATTTTTAATAAAAATTATACCAATATTTTGTTTTTGTATTATAAAAATATGCTTATTCGATGTCATTAAAAAATATATATACCTATGTTAAAGTGTGTATTCATTTATACAAGCTGATCATCAGTTATTTTCTATCTATGTTCTTTGATTCGTTTGAAACTAAGAATGAGACCCAATTGAAGGGCTTGGTGCAATAACCGTCCACGTGCACATTACATAGATTTGAGAAAAATGAGAAAAACGTGTCATTTAGTCATACATAGTTGAAATTATGTGAATTTTTTTATTTTACATTTGCAATATAACCAAAAACTCTGTATACGCCGTAAACAATACAGGGTGCTGAATCGTCAAACGGGCCAACGGGGAAACCCAGTGGAAAATTCTATAAATTGTTGAATTTCTGCTTTCCTAATTATTGCACACCAAAAATCAAGAAAATCTATTTGTAGAGGACTCAAATATGTATCGAAAACAAATGTTAAAATTGTTCTACAAATTAAACGTATTCCAAAATTTTGCAAGAATATAATACATTTTTCAGGCCACCCCTTAAAGTCAGGCCACACGCTGTGCAAGAATGTGTATAACATGTTGCGTTTGGTCATATTGATGTTTCTGATATTTGACCATATTTGAATTGCCAACATTTTTACTTTGTGATTTATTGTTTAAAAAACAATATAGTTGATTAAAAATGTATTCAGTTGAGGAGAAAGTAGCAAAATAAAAATGTTTTATTCAGGAAATAGTGCGCGAATTGTCATTTCTTTATTTAGCGTAAGATATTCCAATAAACCAATTCTTCCAATAAAGTCATTCAACAATTCAAAGAATTTTACAAAATTTTGAAAATACTGGGACCGTGATTTCTAATTTTACTTGTACAAACAATATTGCTGAGATACCAAGAAATTTATAAAATCAAAATTAAATAAATGTATTAAAAGCGTAGGCGCAAAATTTCAGACCAATGCTTTTTAAATGCATTCATTTTTTTCGAATCCTGAAAAAACCAAAAAATATTTTTTAAAAATTTAAACGCAGAATGAAAGAATACATTATTACCGAGGGACGAAAGTCCCTGAAAACTTCTATCATGTTCATTTTAATAAGTTACAGTGGTGAAAAAAAAAAAAAAATAGAAAATTTAGTGTGATTTTTAATCTAAAATATCTCATTAAAAAAACTTTTTGTTTATTCTAAGGGACTTTCGGCACTCGGTAATAATGTAATCTTTCATTCCGCGTTTAAACTTTTCAAAAATATTTGTTAGTTTTCTCAGGATTCGAAAAGAATGAATGAATTTAAAAAGCATTGGCCCGAAATTTTGCGCCTACGCTTTTAACAGCAGTAGTAGAAAATCCTAAAATAAGTTCTCGGGCCATTGCAGACCAGTTTAATATTCATAATTCCACGGTGTTAAAAATTTTAAACATGAATAATTTCCGATCATATAAATTTCAATGTCATCAAGAACAAAGAGAAGAAAATGTTGAGTGACGAGCGGAATTTTTTTATGAAATTTTAGAGGGGTAATTAATGCAGACAGACAATTTAAAAAGAAACATTCTGTTTAGTGATAAATGTACATTAAATAATGAACCACATGTTCAAAATTATAGGATTTGGTCGACAGGAAAGCTTGAGGATATTATTGAAAGCCATACCCAAAATCGTCGAAAAATAAATGTCTGGTTTGGAATATTTTAACACAATATTATTGGACCATTTTTCTATGGGAAAAATTTAAATTCAAAAAAGTTTTTAGACTTGCTACAAGAAGAGATTTTACCCAGATTTGCAGAAATAGCTCCAAATGAAGAAGAAATTTGGAATTAAATGGATGGATGCCCTGCGCACCATAACTAGGTGGTTAAGAAATTCCTTAAAAACAGCTTTAATAATTTTATATAAGGTTGAATGCTGGAATAAATGAACTTTGATCAAATAAAAGGCAGATATCGAGCGTAGTTTTATTAATTAAATCTTGCCCAAGTGCTTTCGCTTCCTAGAGCATCTTCAGAATTTCGTCAAATTTTACACAAGGACAAACACTTTTAAATTTTAAAATAAGCGAAGCTACATTATAGTCGAAAACCGGAAAGAGAATGGCTCTTGGTCTAACGGAAAATCCGTTTTCGCTAAATAGACATATAGACCCAATAAGTCGTAAACTGAGAATGTAGAGAAATAGAGAATATGGAAGGTTTGAAATCTATAAACTAGGTTCACTACATTGCGCCTTAGACTCAGTGTGTCTTTCGATGACCTAGGTATGTCTCTCGAATTTAATGGTGTGATATTCAACGAAAAAGTGTACGGGAGAAGGGGACTCCTTCAGACAGGGGGTTTGATATTGTGGGTAAATTTAAGGACTCGGGTTGGCAACACTGACATCAAAACATTCCATTAGTACACACTCTATTGTAGTTCAGTCTGTAGAACAGTACAGTAAAGGGTTCATGTCATAAATTGAAAAGTTAGTTTTTGGTGATTGAAAGTCAAATTTTTGGATTGAAGATGAGTTTTTTATTAGAAGATAAGAGTTAGGACAATCAATATTTCTACCAGTTTTAAGTCCATTTATTGCTGTATAGTCTTTTTGCTGTATTTATTGCTGTAAGTGTGTTGTTAGCTTAGATTAAGATATAGGCGCCGGAGTTAGGCAACACAGATGACAGGGATGTCATGTGAACGTAGCCGAAGCTCGGGCAAGGAGGTATGTTTGAGGGTTGAGAATAAACTGATGTTGTGAAGTAACGATTATTATTTGTAACCCCTCTTTGATAACACGACATGGTGGCAGCTGGTGCTTTGTTTTGTTAACATTAAACAAGCAAAGAGTGGTCGAACGTGACAACAGTGCAAATCTTATGCATAACCTATAAATCAGAGGGGACCTAAAATCCTTAAAATGGATGCACCTATCCAAATAAATAAAGAAGTGTTTGCGAACATTTCGGCTCCAAGCGAATTTGATTTTACACAGCCCCAGACATGGCCCCAATGGAAGAAAAGAGTAGAGAGATATATGTCTGTAAGTGGATTTGGACAAAAATCTGACAAGGATAAATTAGACCTACTGTTGTATTTAATGGGAAATGAAGCAGAAGATATCTTACTTCAAAATCAACCAGTGGAGAATGCATCCTTTCAAGATGTAATGCAGATTTTCGACAATCATTTTATTCCCCGAAGAAATACAATCTTTGAGAGATTTCAATTTAATTCAAGGGTACAAAGGCCAGGAGAACCTGTGGGAAACTTTATTTCAAGTCTACATACTCTTGCAGAGCACTGTAGCTATGGAGCTCTTAAAGATGAGTTAATTCGTGACAGGATAGTTATCGGAATAGCTGATAAAAAGGTGAGCGAAAGAATGCAACTAAATGATGGTTTGACACTAGAGAAGGCAATACAAATAGCACGCCAAGCTGAACTTCAAGATAGTCAAAATAGAATTATGAGACAGGAGCAGTCAGTTAGTGCAGTTAAACAGGACTACAGGGAGCGTAGTGATAAAAGACATCAAGGTTACAGATGTGGATACTGTGGCATACCTACATGTAAAAATAGGGAGAAATGTCCAGCCAAGTTCTCTGAATGCAGATCTTGTTCACGTAGAGGTCATTGGAGTGTGATGTGCAGGAAGAAAGCTGTCAGAGCTGTTAAGTGTTCAAGGTCCACCAGTAGCAGTAGTACAGATGACGAAGGAAGGGATTCAGTAAATCAAGTGGTACATACAGATTCCTTTATTGGCCAAGTGTACCTAGACAAGAAGGATCGTTGGTATGTAGACATCTTATTGGATGACAAATTTAAGGTACCTTTTTTTGTGGATACAGGAGCAGATGTTAACTGCTTTCCCTATGAAAAATTACCTCCAGAATATGTGGGTAAAATTGTGGCATGTGATGCAATTGGTGCAGCGGACGATCATAAATTGGACACAGTGGGTAAGCTACATATAAAATTTACTTATGACGGTTTTACAAATGATGAAACAATATATTGTATTAGGAAGTTGAGACAACCTATATTAAGCAGAGAATCAATCATTAAGTTTAATGTTCTAAATTTTTCTAATTGTAAGCTTAAACAGGTAAATCAAATCAGTTGCAGTGTTGTTCATTGTAATCAATCTGAGAGTACTAATTTGTTTTCAAAATTTAATTTAGAGTCTGTTGCTAAAACATTTCCTGGTATTTTTAGTGATATAGGTGAATTTAAAATGGAAATGTCAATTAGAATTAAGCCAGATGCTAAACCTTATGTACAGAGCGTTCCCAGAACTGTTCCTTTACCTCTGTTACCAAAATTAAGAATTGAAATTGATAGATTGCTAAAATTAGGGATAATTGAACCCATTGAAGATCCTACTTCTTGGGTCAGCCCAATTGTTTGTGTGGACAAGGGAGATTGTGTACGGCTTTGTGGTGACTATACTAAACTTAATGAAAACGTGTTACGGTCACATTTTCCTCTCGGGAAAATATCTCATACACTAGCACAGTTGAAAGGGTCTAAATTCTTCTCAAAATTGGATACCACAAGTGGGTTTTACCAAATAAAATTGAATAAGGGAAGTCAGTTGTTAACAACTTTTATAACACCTTTTGGCAGATTTTTCTTTAAAAGGCTTCCATTTGGTATATCTTGTGCCCCAGAGTATTTTACTATGAGATTTTCAAAAATCTTAACTGGCATTGAAGGCTGTGTTGTCCATATAGATGACATTCTTATTCATGCAAGGACAATAGAGGAACATGACAATATTTTGAACACAGTCCTAACAAAACTTCATAAGGAAGGTATTACACTAAATAAAAACAAATGCTCTATAGCAACAAAAACAGCTAAATACTTGGGTCATATGGTCTCTGAGCAAGGGATATTAATTGATCCAGATAGGGTTAAAGCTATCCGTGATTTTCCTGAACCAAAAAATAAGACTGAGCTGTCAAGATGGCTGGGTATGATTAATTTTGCTGCAAAATACATTCATAATAAATCTGAGA